CCCCGGCTAGAGGCGCCCCGCCGCCGGCCCGCGGAGCCCCGATGCTGGCCCGGAGGAAGCCGGTGCTGCCGGCACTCACCATCAACCCCGCCATCGCCGAGGGTCCTTCCCCCACCAGCGAAGGAGCTTCTGAGTGAGTGCACCGGAGTCGGCGGGGAGACGACGGGGGTTGGACGGGGTAGAGGGTCCCTGAGAAGTGTGATTGGGGTGAGGGCGGGTCTTCCGGAGAGAAGATGGGATGTGGGGTCCCTGAGTTGTGAGAAAGTGGTGGTGAGACAACCCACAGGGGAGAAACGAGGTGAGGGGTAGCTAAGGTGAGGGGGTTTCCTGAGACGTGAGATCGGGTGAAGGGTGGTCCCTAATGAGAGAGGCTGAGGTAAGGGATCCTCGTGGGAGGAGATTGGGTGAAGGGTCTCTGGGTGGTGAGATTGGGATGAGATGTCTTTTAGGGGAGAAGACAGGGTGAGGGGAGGTCTGCAGGGAAAAAGATGAAGCCGGGAGGTCCTTGAGTAGCTAGATCAGTATTGGGAGGGGGGGCTTGCAGAATGAAGATGGAGAGGTTCCCGCAGGAAGAAGATGAGTGAAGCGCCCCTAAGTAGTGAGATCAGGACTGGGGGATCCTTGCAGAGTGAAGATGGGTAGGAGTGGATGAAGCGTCCCTGACTGTTGGGGGCGGCGGGGTTTCCTGAGTGGTGGGAAGGTTGTGTTGAGGGGTCTGGGGGGATCCCTTGGTGTATGGATGAGGCGAAGGAAGCCCCTGAATAGTGGTGTTGGTGTGGGGTGAAGGGTGTTGAGGGAGATCTTGAGGCACCAGATGTGCGGGAAAGGCGAAAGGGATCCCTGAGGGGTCAGGATTGAGGGGGCTCCCTGAGGTGTAGGGATGGGGGAGCCTGGGGGAATTGGGGGTGAGGATAGCCTGAGCACCAATGAGCAGACTCTTGTCAGGATGGGAGCGGAGACCTCTGGGGCTGGGGGAGTGGGGAGGGTCCCAAGAAGGTGAAGAGTCTGGGGAAGAAAGAAAGGAAGGAGTGAGGGGCTGAGGAAAGGGAGGCCGGGCCAGGCAGGGGCGGGGAGAAACGGGAGAGGATGTGGAGAGAGGTAGGGGCAGCCACTGGGAGCCCTGGAAGCAGGTGAGCAGAGATTCTGAAGTGAGTGGACTGGAAAAGTCTGCAGGGACCAGGGAATGCAGAGTGACTGAAGCGGGCAGGGGGCAGAGAGAAAGGAGCCCCAGGGTGTGCGAGGACAAATCCTATAGCAAGAGGAAAAGCAAGAAAAGGGAGGGCGGGAGGAGGGACTTTGAGGGTCCAGAGGAGTGTCATTGTCAGGCCATGGTCTCCTGTTCCTGTTCTCCCTGTGGCTGGACCATCCTGGAGCCCCCAGCCATGGTATCTGTGATGTGCCTTATGGTGAGAATGAGCCCGTTCCCTCTCAGGGGACTTTACTTTCTGTAGCCCAGACCAAAGAGGAGTGTCCTGGTGTGTGTGTGTGTGTGAGAGAGAGAGCGAGAGAGAGAGCTGTGCGTGGGGATGTATTTCTTATTTTAAAATTACCCTCCTTCTTACAAGTAAGTTCATTTTCATCTTCTCTTTCTCTTCTGTAGTTTCTGATTTTCATCCCTTCAAGAAATCCCCCAGAGAGGAAGCTTCCCCATTGGAATTCCAGGGTGGTGGGGTGTTTTTTGTTTGTTTGTTTTTAATTTTTGACAAAAGCATACACAATGAAACATATACCGATTCAACAGTTTCTCCATGTCCAGTTCACTGATGATGGTTACATTCTCCACATTGTGTCTCCATTCACACTGTCTATCCCTATTATTTCACCCCCGTTGACTCTGACTCTTTGCCCCTTAAAGTTCCCGTGTGTGCTTTAGGGGGGAGCGTTGGCATTTCAGTCTCTGGTAGGGAATTGTTCAACAGGGCGCAAAGCTGAAGACACACATTCTTTATTTTTGGGGCCACGTTGTTTGGTTTAAAGATGACTTTGTGGGATAGCTTTGGTGCCAAGTTCTAAAATGTTTCCAGACAGTAGCTTCAGGGTCCTTCCAGTCTTGATGTCAGGTTTCTAATAGGGGGAATTAGAGAGGTTTTTTTTTTCCAAATAATCACAGTTGAGTTGCCATTACATCTAAATCGGATTAATCAGCTGACTCCAGGATGTGTTTCCGGGTCATAGGGCAGTCCGGAGACCTCTGCATTCTGGCCTCAAAGCCTGCTTCTTCAGCCCCATGGTTAGGCGTAGTCCCTGAATGAAAAGAGCCATAGCTGCTCATTCCTTGGCGCATCCACTTCTGCCCATCAGAGTCCCCTTTTATTTCTTCACCCTGGTCTTTGCCCAGTGGGTGTTCCAGGAGCACCCACTTGGCCCCAGTCCTGGCTCAGGGATACCAAGATGAGCAAGGACCATGAGCACGCAGGTTTGATTCTGGGCATTGCCATTTCCTCATGCCATGACCTCAGGCAAGTTCCTTAGTCTCTGGGAGCCTGTTTCTTCCTCCTGGCCTGGGACCCCCAGACATCCACCTCCCAGGATGGTTAGGGGAGGACTCTGGGCTGTGGTATTTGCTTGTAAAGTACACAGTATATGCTCTGAAAATGGTACCTAGCCTCATACCTTCTGGAAAGTTTTTTCGGCCTCAGTTCAGGTGACAGTGCCATCTTAGATCCCCACCTGTGTGATCCTTTGCTCCTGTAAGGTGATGGTGGAATTTCAGGATTGGAAGGTTCTAGAAGGGGCATCCATCTATCCCTTCACCCCTGCTGGAATCCCCTATATGACATCTCCTCCAGGTGGGCTTAAACACCTTCAGGAATTAACTAAGTGCCCTGAAGGTGGCCTGTTCTCCTTTAGAGAATTCTCTTACAGTTCTCCATCAGGTTCAATAGCCACTGGCTGCACCCTTAAGATGCGGTTTGTCTAAATCGAGGAGAACTGTGGGTATAAATTATATTCCAGATTATAATGACTTAGTACAAAAAGCAGATAGTGCAGACTGCTCATTAATTTTTTATATTGCTTTTGGGGTGAAAAGAAGGAGTTTTGGTGGTGCAGTGGTTAAGGCATTTGACTGCTAACCAAAAGGTTAGTGGTTGGAACCCACCAGCTGCTCTGCAGGAATCACGTGAGGCAGTCTGCTTCTATGAAGATGACAGCCTTGGAAATACTTTGAGGCAGCGGTACTCTGTCCTATAGGATTGCTGTCAATCAAAATTGACTCGAAGGCAGTGAGTTTTTGTGTTGAAAGGAGCCCTGGTGGCTTAATGGTTAAGGTCTCAGCTGCTAACCAACATGCTGGCGTTTGAACCCACCCCGTGGCTTTGAGGGAGAAAGACCTGGTGGTCCGTCTCCGTGAAGATGACGGCAGGGAACCCTGCAGAGCACTTGTACTCTGTCACGTGGGCGCGCTGTGAGTGGGATCGACGTGATGGCACCCAGGGACAGCAACTACAATATGTTGGAAAGACACATGTGAGGTTAAATCAAATGTATTGAAATCCCACCTGTTTTACTGCTTTTAACGTGGCTACTAGAAAAATGTCAGACTGCACATGGGGCTCACGTAATGCTTCTCTTGACAGTGCCGGCTTAGTGCATATATTGAGCTAAAAATCTGCCCACCTATGGCAGCCAACCAGTTGCCTTCAAGTGGACGCCAGCTTGTGGTGGCCCAGGTGTGTCAGAGCGGAACTGTGCTGGTTTTCAGGAGCCCATTTTTCAGAAGCAGATTGCCAGGCCTTTCTTTTGAGGCACCTCTGGGTGAACTCAAATCGCCAGTGTTTCAGTTGGCAGCCAAACCGCGTTCACCATTTCTACCACCCAGGGCATTGGTGCAAATAGCTGATAGTCCAGATTTCCTTTGAACATGCCTTAAATCACCCCAGAAAGTCCAGTATGCGTGGTTTGTTTGATAACACGGTTCAGGAATGGGAGTGTGTGTGTGTAGGGGGGGTAGAAAACGTGTGTTTACTGTCATGTATGGGATATAGGAAGAGTGTGCCCTGTGAGCCAAATGTTCCAGAATTGCCTGCATGACTTAAATGATGCCTCTTCTTTCCCCCCTCAAATGCCTATAATTCATGTATAATTGGGGGTGTGTACAAGGCATGTTTTCTCTTCGACCTTTTGGTCCTTACAGTCCTTTTGGTCTTTTCAGTCCTTTGCTAAGGCCACTAGAAACAAGTTAGGTCGTCTGTCCTCACTAAAGACAGGTATCCTTCATTCATCCCACTCCAGTCTCATTTCCCCAGTTCCCACATATCCTTCTGGATGTAGTTGGGAGTGCTGGCTTCAGGGTCCAGGACTCTTGGGTCTAGGCACCGGTACCTGTAGCCATGCCCAGCTCCTGGGCTGGGGTGCCATAACACATCCTTAGGGTCCTGAGGTCTTCTCCCTGACCTTCGTGAGCAAGGATGTAGGCGGAATCATCGGCCCCCTGGTCCAGGTGGCTGTGTGTCTGCAGGCGGGCGTGCACACAGGTCTCTCTTTTGTGCTGGATTGTAAGTCCCTCGTATGCAAGACCAGGTGTGATTCAGCTCTCTGCTCCCAGCTGCCAGCCAGGGCCAGGGGTGGTGCCCTCTCTTGGCACCCACCCATGCCCTGCTAATCCTCACCCTTGGGGTCTCCACAGAGCGAACTTGGCAGACCTCCAGAAGAAGCTAGAGGAGCTAGAGCTAGACGAACAGCAGAAGAAGCGTCTGGAAGCCTTCCTCACCCAAAAGGCCAAGGTCGGCGAGCTCAAGGACGATGACTTTGAAAGGATTTCAGAGCTGGGAGCCGGGAATGGTGGGGTGGTCACCAAAGTGCAGCATAGACCCTCGGGCCTCATCATGGCCAGGAAGGTGAGTGTGGCTGCGGCAGGGCAGGCTCCCCTGGCAACAGACTGGAGGCCTGAGAGGCCTGCAGGTCTCTGCTTTCTGATTGGCTATGTGTTGGAGGCCCTTCTCCCTGGTGGTGGGTTATCAGGGCTGGAGGTTCTAGTTAGAATGTAGCAACCCTGGCCAGCCTCAGGCAATGCTTCCCCCCTTTAATTGCTGACTTCTGCCCGGGGAGCCCTTTGAAATTCAGGTCCCTAGAAACTCTGTATTGTTCAGGGGCTGGCTGGAGAGAGGCGGTGAGTAGAGTTTCTGGAAAGAAAGGTGAAAGCCCGAGTGCAGCTTCACTGGTACTTCCCAACCCAGGAGGGCTCTTCAGGCCCTAGATGTGGCTCTGCTGCTGGCCACGGTGGTCCGATCGGGGGCTTGCAGAGGGGCCCGTGGGTGAGGAGTGACCAAACCACCCTTCAGGAATACGCGCACACTGGTGTTGGAGAGTTCTGAGCCTTTGCCGGCGTCTGGGTTCCTCGCCCAGCATTGACCCTACCCTGTGTGTGAGAGAATACTCCATAGGGGATGGAGGGAGCTGAGAGGATGAGGGGTGACCGTCTTAGGATTTGTTGTTGTTGCTGCTGCCGAGTTGGCTCTGACGCACAGTGACCCCAAGCACAGCAGAGCCAAACCCTGCCCGGTCCTGCAGCACACCCGTGGTCAGTTGTGGATGGACTGTTGTGATCTGTAGGGTTTCCATCGACTGATTCTGGAAGTTTCTTCTTAGTGTATCATATCTTAGTCTGGAAGCGCTGCTGAAACCCGTTCAGCATCGCAGGAACACTCACGCCTCCACGGAGAAACAGGTGGTGCCTGTGTAAGAGGTGCCGTGGCCAGGGCTGGAACTGAGGTCTCCTGCACGGAAGGTGAGAATTCTACCACTGGACTACCAAATTTAGGACAAGTGGCTCCTCAGCATGTTCCCAGGAGCATTTCTAGTTACAAATGGTTCAGCTCATACAACATGTCCCTTCAGATGTAGGAAGCCACCTCTTCCTGGAAGCCCACCATCCTGTGACTACTATGCTACTCACCTGGCACAGGGTTGGAACAGAGTGGACATTCAAAAGCATTTGGTGTCTGAATCGAATAGGAAAGTCATCTGCCTGACTGTCTTCGCACTTTGGGGCTGAAGCACCCTGATGGAGCAGGAGCCCGGCACCAGGCTACCAGGTCAAAGGTGCCTTACGGTCTGTCTGGAATGCTAGCTCACTTGGGTGACCTGTACCCTTGACAGAGCTGAAGGGCATTTGGCTAACTCCGTAGGTGAAAGATTTAAAGTTGTTTTTTTTGTTGTTGTTTTGTTTTGTTTTTTTAAGTTTTAATAAGCATTGGCCTTAGTCTGACGCTCTCCACTGCTGAGTGGAATTCTTCCTTCCCCAGGGAAGACAGTGTGAATTCCAGGCCTTAGGAGTGTGAGGCCTTACCTGCCACAGACTGACTTATCAGATTTCCACAGTAGACTGCCCCGAGATGAGGGGACTGGGGGGAGAAGCTTCGGGAAGGCCCGGCAGCTCCTGCTGTGGGCCAGCAGCAGCGTATGTTGCTGCATCCCTCTGGTCCTTGAGCTTATGGACGTTATCCTAGCCAGGGTGACGTATGGTGGGCAAGCAGCAGACCAGTCCTGTGTTGCTGTTGTTGGGTGCTGTTGGGTCAATTCCGACTCACAGGGACCCCATGTGACAGTAGAACTGCCCCATAGGGCTTCCTAGGCTGTCATCTTTATGGGAGCAGATCACTAGGTCTCTTGCCCATGGAGCTGCTACATGGGTTTGAACCACTGACCTTTGGTTACTGTAACTGCTGCCACCAAGGCTCCTTTTCAAGTGATTATCCTGGGTCATTGTGGGTGCTAAAACCTACTGCATATTCTCATTTAAATCTAACAGTAGCTCCATTTTTACAGATGAGGAAATTGAGGCTTAGCAAGACTGTCTGACTTAGGTCTGAACCTCCTTGGGTCTGCCTTTCTCTGGGAGTCTCAGTATCTGCTGTGGCAGAAGCGAGCTGGCAGGACCACATGCCACTTGCCACTTCTACCTCCTCTCCTAACTGGTTTCCTGCATTTACCTACTATACACATGTCATTGTCCAGTTATGGTGGTGCAAATGGAGAATGTGCCAGGCTGCTCACCAGAAGGTTGGTGGTTCAGGTCCACCCAGAGGCACCTTGGAAGAAAGGCCTGGCACTCCACTTCCAAAACGTCAGCCACTGCAAACTGTGCAGAGCACAGTTCTACTCTGACACAAGGAGTCACTATGATTCAGGGTCAACTCTATAGCAACTGATAAACCATGGGCTGGGCTCCTTATCAAGGGCTGCCCCTGGGTACCAGTCAAGGTGCCGACAGAGCCCTGCAGGCCAGGTTGGCACTTGATGACAGGAAGAATTACACCCAGCAGTGGGGAGGGTCAGACTAAGGCCAATGCCAGAAGAGGCCCTTCTGTTCAGCAGGACCTCATGGTATCATCGGGTGCAGGCTCCAGTTGGCCACCTCTTCTGATTTCTGAATGTTACTGACTGACTCAGAGTGTCTGGACACACTGTATGGGCCACATTGGTCACTTCTGCTGGCCATGCCCAGCTTGGCAGCCACCAGCCTGGACCTGTGCTTCCACATGTTGCCTTGGTCATTCTGGACCCAGCCTTCGATGGAGTTTGCCACTGTGTGCTTTGCCGTCATCCAGTGAGGTCCTTTTCTCTTTCTGGTCTGTCCCCCTATCTTCTGCCCTGTTCCAAGCTCAGAGCTCCTTCTGCAGTAGACACCACTGTCAGCGCTTCAATGTGCTTGGTGTTTGGGGTGAACTCAATGCTGCAACCACCTGGGGCTCCTTCAGCGTTCTGGGTCTGTAGCTGCCCTGTCCAGTAGGGCAACGCCCGGTCCTGTGTGGCTGCTGAGTGCTTGAAAGGTGAACAGCCTGACATGAGAAGTACGTGTATAAAATGCTGATCTTGTTTCATCAGTTAGAATGCACAGCCTGGAAAGTGGTGGCATGGGAAGAGCATGGACAGTAGCATCTCAAGAGACCAGTTCCAATCCTGATGCCACCCCTTACAAGCTGGGTGCCCCTAGGACCCGTTCCTTAACTTCCCAAAAGGCTGGCTACCCATCAGGCTGGTTCTACCTGTCCTGTAGGCGGGTGTCAGGGCACACGGGTATGCCAAAACGGCCTTCCCTCCCACTGGGTCCCCATCCCTGCTCCTGTGCACCCTCATGTGTGGCTTCCCGTCAGTCTGGAAAGCTGGGTGTACAAGCCATGGCAACCTTGACTCACAGTGAACCCGTGTGTATAAGAGTACTGGGCTCCCATCTTGTTCTCTGTGGGGATGTTTTCAGAAGTAGGGGGCCAGGCTTTTGTTCCAAGGCACCACTGGCTGGACTCCAGCCTTTTGGTCAGCAGCCGAGTGGGTTCACCGTTTGTACCCTTAGGACCTCCATGAAAGTAACAGCACCGGCAAGACAGAGGCCCTGCAACCACCTGGGGCTCCTTCAGCGTTCTGGGTCTGTAGCTGCCCTGTCCAGTAGGGCAACGCCTGGTCCTGTGTGGCTGCTGAGTGCTTGAAAGGTGAACAGTCTGACATGAGAAGTACGTGTATAAAAGCCACCCCCGGTCTGTGGCGTGCTGTGATGGCTTGCATGTGGCTGCGACACTGGAAGTGTGCCATGAGGCTTTCCAGTGCCAGCAGGATTACCCAAGGTGGACAGGTTTCAGCAGAGCTTCCAGACTAGGAACAAAGGCCTGGTGATCAGCTCCTGAAAATCAGCCAATGAAGACCCTATGGACCCCAGCACACTCCTGTTCAATAGCCAGGAGATGAGCCCCCAGGGCAGCAGCTGCAGCCTGGGCTCAAGCAGGCCACGAGGATGGGGCAGGGATGGCAGTGTTTTGTTCTGTTCCACTGGGGTCACTATGAGCTGACTGGACCGCAGCTAACCATGACAGTGTATGTAAAACACATGTTTAATTTTGAAGGTTTGGTCTGTAAAATACCCTGTTAGTAACTATGTTGATCTAAGTTGAAATGATAGTTTTTTGATACATTGAGTTACACAGACCAGAGAATCATGTTGCCTGTCAGGCCTGCCTTTACTGGGGTATCTGGGAGGCTGAAGATCAGGTGGGTGGTTCATACTAGGTTTCTCTCAAACCTTGCTCCTCCCAACCATGACCTCTGCACCTTTTCACCTTTCAAAGCAAACTTCCCCAGGCCATGCAACCACCTGCCTGAATTCTGACACTTGAAGCCAGCCCCAGCATCTTGCCCTTTCAAAGCAGCCGTGTGCACCTTTTTGGTTACTTAAGAGGTGCGTTCCCACCAGAGGAAAGAACAGCTTAGAGTTCTAGTACCTTACGCCATCCTGCTGGATCTGGCTGCTGTGCTGGTCAGGGGTCAGGGTGGATATGAGGCGCTGCCTGGGGAGAGGCCAGGGTGCTGGGTGCTCTAGTTCCAGGCCACCCAGCTCTAGCCTCAGTTCTCAAGGTCACCGGCTTGCTGAGCAGGTGGCGCCCTGTCCCCACCCCCGCACGCCTGGGGGCCGAGGCCATGGGCAGCCTCCTGCCCTGCACGCTGCACATACTTCTCCACGCCACATGCCCTTGAACAGGCAGGTCTTTGTCCCCCACAGCTGGAACACCCTTCCTCCCACCTGGTCCATTTGGTAGAATCCTACGCTTTCCTGGAGGCCCAGCCCAAGTGTCACCTTCTCCCTTGCACTCCCTTGCCTCCCAGAGCAACCCTCTCTGTAAGGTGCCTTGCTGACTACATTTCCTCACCATGTTGACCCTGTTGAATCGTACATCCCCGATAGTGGGACCATCTTAGGGATCTGGTTCCCTCCTCCTCGGTCTGGCGTGCCATCAGCACTCAAGGCACGTGTTGACTTCATGGTGATCATTTTCACATCCTGGCACCAGACTCCTCTCTGACGGCTGGATGAACATCCTCTTGTTTTTCTGAGATGGCTCCATCCCCGTCTGTCAATGTGTCCTACTAGGTGGCTTTGTGTTGCTTTGATGTCAGAAGCTATGCCACCAGGATTTCAGATTCCAGCAGGTCACTCATGGTGGACAGGTTTCAGTGGAGCTTTCTGCCTAAGACCAGGAAGAAAGGCCTGGTGGTCAGGTTACAAAAATCAGCCCATGAGTGACAGTAGAGCATTGTCTTTTCCAGAGCTGGGATGAGCCCTGAGGGTGGAGGGCGCTCACAGTGCACAGCGGCCACCACAGCGGACTCGAGCAGACCGGTGATCATGGAGATGGCGCGGGGTGGGCAGCATTTCATTCTGCAATACAGGGGGTCATCAGGAGTTGGGGCCGGCAGGATGGCACCTCCTAACAGCAACAACCACAATGGTGGAGGTTCACAGACTGATCAGCCAGGAAGTTTGACCCCAGAGCTTTTTCCCAGAGCTCTGGGTTCTCCTGCAATGGTTTGTAAAGGATTGCTTGTGGCGTTTGACCAGGTGTCTTTTCTGCCTCTGTCCCATGGTCCTTTGTTTCTTAGCAAATTCAGCTGAAGGGGAAGGAGGGTTGGGATCCTAGGGTGACAGCTGTCAGGTAGTGTCTCTAGTGTGGCAGTGGGAGGGCTCTTTATGTAAACCCACCCCTGACTTACAGAGGACAGAGGGGAGGGACTCACCCCCCTGACTGGGCCCAAGGAGAAAGGCTGAACCTTGTACAGTATTCCTGTTAATTGCCATCTAGTCAGCCCAATGCATGACAAACCTGTGTACAGCAGAGCAAAACGCTGCCCGGTCCTGTGCCATGTTCACAATCGCTGGTCTGCTCAAGTCTGGGGTTGCGGCCACTGTGTATTTCGAGTGCCTTCACCCTAGGGGCTTATCTTCTGGCACCATCTGGGACCCTGTTGTGTTGTGCTGAAGGGGTTGTCATTGACTGATGTTCAGACATGAATTGCCAGGCCTTTCTTCCTAGTCCAGCTTGGTCTGAAAGCTCCCTGAACTCTGTTCACCGTGGGTGACCCTGCTCGTATCTGAAATCCCAGTAGTGTAGCATAGCTCCCAGCCTCACAGCAACACGTAGCTACAGTGGTGCAGCACACTGACAGGCGAGGGAGTAGAGTAAAAATAGTGTAAACTGTAAAAGTGTTTTTAAAAAAAACCACTGCCATCAAGTCAATTCCCACTCATAGCAACCCTTTTAGGACCAAGTAGAACTGGCCCATGGGGTGTCTTTTTATTATTATTTGTTAATTGTTTATTTTCCAAGAGAAACTGTTCCTTAGCCCCACAGTCACGTTTCATAGTCCAGGAACATAGGGCAGTGGCAGTTTTCCTGGAAGTCCATGCACAGAGACTCTTCACGTTCCACAGTCACTTGTACTCTGAAAGGCACCAACTTTCCTCACCTCAGAATGCTTCGTGGAATCATAATTTCTGGGGGAATCTGCATATGCCTTCTTTTTTGCTTCCTCTGCTGCAGACTTAGAGAGCTGCGAACCCCAGGGACATAACGAGTGCTCCAGTGACAGGAGTTCACATACTCTGGGCCAGACGGCCTTGCATCTGAGGTTTAGCCAGACACTGGAAGGCATGGGGGCTGGCTTCCCTCAACACCAGTGTCCTTCCGGCTGATGGAGAAATGGCCCCAGAGGGTTTCCAAGGCTAAATCTTCACAGAACCAGACTGCCTCATCTTCCCCCCTGTGAGCAGCTGGGGTTTGCAACACCAACCTTTTGGTGAGCACGCAAATGTTTAGCCACCGGGCCACCAGAGGTCCTAGTTTAGTGAAAATACCATCCTGTTAACACCTCCCACTAATGGAATGAAAAAAGATTGCTTACTTGATTTTTTTCGAAAACAGGTTTATTGAAATGTAATTCACATACCATGCAATTTACCTTTTTAAAAATTAGTTTTAATTCATTAGTTTTTAGTGTATTCCTGGAATCATGCAACTAGCACCCCAAAAAGAAACCATGTACCTATCGGTCATTCCCTATCCCCCTCCCCCCAGCTCCTGGCAACCACTAACCTATGTTCTGTCTCTGGATTTTCCTACTCTGAGCGTTTCATACAGATGGAAGCATATGCTATGTGGCCTTTCGTGTCTGGCTTCTTTGATTCAGCGTCATGTTTTCAGGGTTCATCTATACTACAGCATGTATGGGACGTCATTTACACGTGACTGAGTAACATTCCACTGTGTGGGTCAACCACCATCTGTTGTGTTTATCCACCATCTGTTGATGGACACATGAGTTGTTTCCACCTTTTGATGATTGTGGACAGTGCTGCAGTGAACACTGGTGTCCACGTAGCTATTAAAAAAAAAAAAAAAAAAAAAACTCAGTTCCGTTGAGTCGGTTTGAGTCCCTGTCTTCAGGTCTTTTGGGCATAGACTGAGAAGTGGAGTTGCTGGGCTGCTCAGTTGACATTGAAATGCTGTTGTGCACATCTCGAGAGCAAAGGCCAGCACCTCCCTGTTTCCTGTTGCCCTCACCTCACAGCCTCCCACCCTCTCCCCTTGCAGCTGATTCACCTGGAGATCAAGCCAGCCATCCGAAACCAGATCATCCGGGAGTTGCAGGTTCTGCATGAGTGCAACTCCCCATACATCGTGGGCTTCTACGGGGCCTTCTACAGCGATGGGGAGATCAGCATCTGTATGGAGCACATGGTGAGTGTGCTGGGTGTTGGGGAAACCTAGGCAAGGCTTCTCTGGGACCACTAGGACAACTATTTTTTTTTTTTTAAATTACTAATTTTAAAAAGTGTTTTTGGTGAAAATACACATAACAAAGCATATTCCTGTTCCACAGTTTCCCTGTGTGCAATTACCTGATGATTCCCGGCCTCTGGTGTGTCATCATTTTCCCTCTCTCTGTCAGTATTGCTTCGCCACTGTTAATCAGACTCTCTGCCTCTTAAAGTTCTCATCTGTGTTTTCGAGTTGCTATCATCCATTCAATGTTGTATTGGTTATTCTTTATAAGAGCACAGTGCTCAAGCTGAACATTCTTTATAAGGTGAGCTAAACTGTGGCTGAGGTCAGAGACCATCTTATGGGAGAGTTGCAGCCTAAAGCTTAGGCGGTGGTCTGGGGTTCGTCCCATCTCAGTGTGCCCAGCAAATCTGGTTTCCAAGAAGAACTTGAAGTTCTAGGACAGCTATCCCGCTCGTGACTCACTGTACGAGCACAGGATATAAAATTCACGTAGGACAGAAGGATGTCCAGTACAAAGGAGATCTTCCTGCCTGTCCTCAGAGTCCCTACTAAGGAGGTGACAACTGTCAATTCTTCCTAAAAGGACCCTTCTGGAGACAGTCAGTGCTGTGTGGAGGCACACAGAGGTTCCTTTCGTTTTCGACCAGGGCTTTCAAAGTGGTTCTAAACATTTCCATCATGGCTGTGGAAACAGTGGCAGTGTATACGTTGCATAGCAACCAAATCTCTTGTGTGACAAGATTTTGACCAGAGTAGGAAAAGAGCAGTGGCACCTTGCTCAAGGATGGCGGCCGACCATGCCACAATGGAGAGTGACACACATTGAGTGGCATGGTCGGCTGCCATCTTTGAACAGGTTACTGCTGCTGCTTCCTACTTGGGTCAGAACCTATCACACACGAGATTTAGTTACTGGGCAGCATGTACTCTGCCCTTGCTTGCATCAGCCATGATTAAACCCTTTCAAACCAGTTTGAAGCCTTGTTTTAAACCCTTGCTCTCAGCTTTTGCACTTGATATGTCATGGGAATCATCCTCTCAGCTTGCTTATAGTGGTCGTGTGCCGTTGAGTTGATTCCAACTTAGAGTGACCCAGTGTGACAGTAGAACTGCCCCTAGGATTCCTGGGCTGTCATCTTTGTGGAAGCCGACCCCCAGGTCTTTGACCCGTGGAGCCACTGGGTAAGTTTGAACTGCTAACCTTTCAGCTGGCAGCCGAGAGCTTAATCATGGCACCACCAGGGCTCCTTCGAGAGCTGTTGCCATCTTTTTACCCAGTGTGTAGCGTTCCACTGTGGACATGGATCTGTTTGATCATTTACCAAACACTCCCTTGTTAGTAGACATGTAGGTGGTTTGACATTTCTGCCGAAATTTTTAGAAGTGAAAAGGCTGGGTCCAAGGTATATTCAGTTAAAAGCATTATTGATATTTCCATACTTCAAAGAAACTGTCTGAAGCAGTGGTGGCTCACTGGTGGGAGTCTTACCTTCCAGGCTCCACTTCCGGCCAGCGTGCCTCATGCACAGTCCCCACCCGTCCGTCTGTGGTGGCTGCATGTTGCTGGGATGCTGGATAGGTTTCAGCAGAGCTTTCAGACTGAGATGGACCGGGAAGAGAGGCCTGTTGATCAGTTTCCAGACATCGGCCAGTGAGACTGTTCGAGCTGCGACCAGTCCCAGGGACAGTGCAGGACCTGGGAGTGTGTGGTTCCATAGAGCAGGGGAGGGTGTAATGAGTTAGGGGCCAACTCGACAGCACCTAACAACAACAAGGAGACTGTAGCAGTCTGAGGAACTTTCTTGATGTTACTTGCACACACCTCCCAGCTCAGATCTGTGGGGTTAGCATCTCCAGGCTGGGGCACGGGCACTCTCTTGTTTTTAAAGTGCCCCAGTGGGTTCCGAGGTGCCCCCTCATTAAGAAACTCTGGTTTTGAAGCTTAGAAGTGGGTAGGATGGAGCATAACAAAAGCAGAAGTGGTCGGGGCTGAAGGCCCTGAGAGGAAATGCCACTGACCCTGTGTGAAACCGAATTCATCAGGTGTGCCCATCTCGGAGGGGCCCAGGCCTGCCGGCACCCTTGCAACACCAGGAGGCACACACGTTGGTTACACCCTGAAAATGCGCCGTCACCTTGGACGATTTTGTAACAGGCAGGAAATGAATTTGAGCAAGCGTCCCACAAGGAATACCCCATGAGCAGGCGGCATGGTGCAAGAGAGCTCTGGTGTGGGTGTGAGAAGGCATCCCTCCCCTTTGTGCCTGGCCCCAGCTTAGCCAGGTGGTCCCAAGTCAGGCCTTGCTTGTCACCTCGGGGAGGGAATCCTATCCGCCTACCTTCCTCTCAAAGTGATTGCACAGACAGAAATCAAAGGGAGAAGAAAGGACCTGGAAGTACTTTGTGGTCTGCAGTGTGCTCCTGACGTTGAAAGGGGCCACCTGTCACCCCTGACACCCTCCTCCCAGCTCTCAGTGAAGACAGTCGACTCAGAAGCTCTGCTGGTGCCCCTAAGCAGTGACTCATCTTTGTTGCTAGGGTTGAACTCAGCCCTGGAAGGCCCCTTCTGTCCCTGTGCAGAGAAAGGGAGCAGCCCCTCCTGGCCCCCTCACCCCTCCCCTGTTCTGGGTGAGTTTAAAGCCATGCTGTGTGGAGCAGCTGTGCACCCTGCCAGGGCCAGCATGCCCCTCTGGGACATAGGAGAAGAAGGCTCACAAGTCTGTATGTTTGTGGCCCCAAGAAACGAAACCAAAGCCTTTGCCATCAAGTTGACCCCGACTCACGGCACCCCCGTGTCTGATAGGGCAGAACTGCTCCATGGGGTTTTCTCGGCTGTCATCTTTATGGAAGCCACTCACCAGACCTGTCTCCCGTGATGCCCCAGGTGGGTTTGAACAGCTAACATTTCCGTTAGTTGATTGCAGATTGCTTGCTCCACCCAAGGACCTGTTTATCACACACATCCTCTAAACACCCAAGTCAGTTTTCTGGTTCAGTTTTGTACGTGGGCAGTAGGGTGTGTATGTAATGCACGCAGAGAGTAATTAGGTATGATCTGCATTCCCACAGTCTCTACCAGTAGGGTGTCTGATTTAAAAAAAAAAAAAAGGCAGTGGTTCTGAAGTACAGGGTGAGCCTTGATGTGTGAAACATCCTGGGTAGGGAAGGTAGCATCTACTTTAAAGGGTGAGAATACAGTGACATTAAAGTGAGGAGCCATAAAAAACTTAAACCAGTTGTCTTCCACTCACCATTGACTCATGGCAGCCCCACATATGTCAGAGCAGAACTGTGCCCTGTGGGATTTTCGGTGGCTGGTTTTTTGAAGGCAGGTCACCAGGCCTTCCTTCCGAGGCACCTCTGGAGCACTGATTGGTCTGAATGCATTCCTGGAAGAACTCCGGGTGTGGACAGTAGAGAAGTGGGCTGTAGAGAGCTTATGACGACGCAGGGGCTGCTATGGGTATTTCTTGTGTCAGATCTGTTGAAGCATACACTCCCTGCTTTGCAACAGTGAAAATTCAGACATGTCCGTCAGTAAGCAGTGATCACAGAGAGGATCCTGGGCTGCCCTGCAGCAGGAAGATGAAAATGGCACACGTGTTCCGTACGAGGAGGTGTGCGGTGGTGCAGTGAATGACTTCATGTGGCGCTTCAAGCCATGGTCTCTGTGACTTCCTCCATGACTGGGTGGAGCTATGTAAATGTGAGGTGCTTGTGGCCCACCAAGGACATTGATTGGGTAGTTTGCTAATAATGTCAATAAGATGCATGGCACCCTTGTGGGGGTGGGACTGTGCAAATAAGGTGTATGGAACCCCATTGTGGGCATTGGTAGGTTTTGCCATCATGCTCGGCTTAAAATGGCCATCCCAGAGGCAGAAGGGGGAGCTCATTGCCATGAAGAAAGAAGAGCCAGGAACGGAGTGTGTCCTTTGGACCTGAGATCCCTGTGCTGAACCTCTCTGACCCAGGAGACAGAGACAGTGGAACCAAGAGACTGGCACGAGACAGCGGTGAGTACCTCAGGCAGAAAGCTTTGCAGCAAAGTGGGGTGCCTTCCTGGGCACCTCTCAGCAGAGCTAAGAGAGCTCTGTAACACTTGCCCAAGCAGGGCAGAGGCCAGAGAGAAGTGTGCCTGTGGTGCTGCAGGGACGAGGCTGTCCTGATTGAAGAACCGTATCCTGCCATGTTCCTGATCCTAATTGTAACCTGTTACTTCACTAATAAACCCCATAATCATGAGTACTGTCTGAGTTCTATGTGGCCATTGCAACGGATTACTGAACCCAGCAGAGAAATAGAGTGTGCTGTGGGAGGGACGATTGGTGTCAGAGTTGGTAGAAGGGTTTCAGCGTGGTGGCACATCCAGCCTCCACCTCCAGCCTTGGGGTGTTGCTGCTCATGGTGGTTCTCTCTGCCCCTCATGAAGTTAGAGGAGGTCAGATGACCTCTATGCCCTCTTTGCAAAGTGAAATGAAAAGTACATATACTCGGGAGATCCTCAGGAGACGTTACTAAGTAAGGACAAAAGCAGGTAGCAGAGAGTGCACACAATATGGGGCATTTATGTGTGTTTTAAGTCTCTGTTTTTCTCTGTTTATGGATGTATCTGTAAGGGCCTGGAAGGACCCGGAGAATGCAGCCACGCCTCAGTCCAGCTGAGTCCAGGAAGTGGAGCTGCTAAGGGCCAGGTTACTCACCTGCACTTGAATTCTGCATAAGAAAAAAGAATTTCTGTGCAACATGAAAATACAATATAAAGAACGCAAAAATAGCTAACAATCGTATCTGGTGTCGTATAAGGAGGAACCCTGGGGTCACAAAAGGCCGAGTTGCAGTGTCTCCTGTTCCACATCCTGTCGCTGTGACTTGAGTAAGAAAGATACTTACCTGCCAAACTCTGGTGTTAGCTGTACATCAGTGGTTCTCAGTGAGGGGTGATTGTGCTCCCAGGAGACCCTGGACGATGTCTGGGACATCTGTGGTTGTCAGGACTGAGGGCGGGTGCTGTGGCATCGAGTGGGTAGAGACCAGGGCTGCTGCCCAGCACTGTACGGTGCACAGGACGGCCCACTCTGGAGCAGGGTCTGCGCGTGCCAGCAGTGCGGGTGCGGGCCTCTAACGCCGATGCTCATCGGCCTGCCTGCAGGGCTTTTCTGCACTGGGATGCTCCCACCCGGGCCTCCCACAGTCGTACAGAGACTGCACATCCTCACTCAGCCAACACTGCCCCTCCAGGAAGTGTCAGAATAAGAGGGGGTTATAGTCAACACATTTTTTTCTTAATTCTTTTAAGGCTTGTGGCTAAGACAAAAAAGAAGACTGCAGGGGCTTCCCAGAAGGCACCCTCTGCTGTGAGCTTCTCAGCATTGCCCACACCCTGCCTGCCCTGGTAGGCCTCATCACAGCGGCTGCAAGCTAGTCACCACCGTCCCTCAGGGTGCACTGGTGTCCTTGCGACCCCCATGGCCTTTCTCACTGAGCACAGAAGGGCCCAAGATGGAGATCCAGATGCCCCGACTGTGGGTTTCCCCACCCTCTCCCCGCAAGGGAGCAGGCCATTGTGAGTGTCCCAGACGTATGTTTGGGTCCTGCCACTACCATGTACTCTCCCAAGCCTCGGAGTCCACTCTGTCAAGTCAGTGTCGTGAGGGGGCAGCTCAGGAGACCCGTGTTAGGTGTCTGGCTGTGGTCAGATCTTGGATGGCACCTTGGTGTTGCGAGAATGTTTCTGGAAAGCCCCATCTTGTGTAAGGCCCCTGGGCCTGGGGCAGCCACTGCCTGTGTTTGGGTGTCCAGCTCTGTTGCAGGGCAACCTCACACAAGACACTTTATTTCTGTGTCATTTGTTGATTACCTTTGGTGCCACACCTGGGGTGGGCTGGGGATTTGGGGGTGACTCCTCAGCATCTTTGGTGCATACGCCTGTGTCATGGAGAGTGGACTAGAAGCCTAAGGGCAGGGCAAGGTCTGCCTTCTCCCGAAGGAAGCAGCCGCTCACGTTCAGCTGCAGCACGCGAGTCCTACAGCCATTAGATCCCCATCTTCCTGCTGTCTCCCGCCAGGGAGGCGCAGGGCCTGTCCTCTGCCAGGTGTAGAGAAGTCAGGTCATGGCCATGAGCACAGAAGCTGTGGGGGTCCCAGTGAGCAGCCATCCTGCCCCTGCCTTTGCTCACGCTCTCTTGCCCACTGAGGCCTTGCAGCATGTTGATTGCACACAGGCCCATGGAACTGGCTGGGCCCTCAGGTCCAACGTGTTTATATTCCCTCTGATCCCCAGCCCAGAAGCTTCTGTGTGGCCCAGACAGGGCAGGCAGGCAGCTGTGGGGCACACAGCTGGGGCCCTGGGTCCTGCCTGCCACCGACCGCCGAGCTGGTGTCAGGAAGCTGAGTCACAGGACTGGCAGGACGGTCTGTTCCGGGAAGAGACACATACGTGAGAACGGCACCAGCATTGTGGCTCTCCTGCCTTCCCATTTCCTGGTGGCCCTGGGAGCAGCTGCCGGGCCTGTATGTGGCCCGGCCTCTGTTTCCTGCCGGGGAAATGGCACAGCATCTTGCAGAGGCCAGGCCGTGCTTCGCTCACTCACCTGCCATGCTGGTGTCGGCTCAACTTGGCTGGGCCCTGAAAGCGGCACTGTTGGTTCACACCAACAACTGAAAATGGTTTGCTCTTTTCCTTTCTCTGGGCCCCTAGGACGGAGGTTCCCTGGACCAGGTGTTGAAAGAAGCTAAGAGAATTCCGGAAGAGATCCTTGGGAAGGTTAGCATTGCGGTAAGTACATAACCTCGCCTGCTGAGCCCTGTGTGCCCTAGTTCTGCTCCTCACCCCCATTCTGCAGGGATCTGTGCTTTCTCCTGCCTTCCATGTGGCTGGGGTGCAGAGCAGCATGAAGTCAGTGGTGTGCGTGCGTGTTGCCTACCCTGGAGGGGCTGCCACTCCCATCTCCCACTGTGAAGGGACTCTGAGCCAGGGGTGTCCCCTTTTGGGTCCTTGAGTTCCCCATCTGCCAAGTGAAGACACTAGGTCTTGAGATCCTCCCTCGCCCGGGCCTTGGAACAGCCCTGGGGGTGTGGTGGTGGCTGCTGTACCAAGCTCCTCTCCGTTGTATGGTGGGCAGGCATTCCTGTCCAGTCACAGCCAGGGCCCTGTGGTCTGGGCAGCTGCAGAAGTGTGTTGAGAAGGTGGTTGAAGGGAAAATCCGGGGTGGGGGTGTAGTGCTACCATGACCTCTGACCACCCCCCTCTCACTGTCAGGAAATGTGCTTTCGGGCCTGGGGACAGGGCACGGCCCTTGGCTTTCCTGGTTCCCAGCTGGCACTGAGGTCTGGGCAGAAGGTATTGCTTCTCTGAACCTTTCTGTCGCTGCCTGTGTAATGGGGTAACCCTGACCTGCCTTGCATAGGTGTGGGCACAAACAAGATGATGGGCCATGGTGGTTGGTGTGGTGCCGGGCCCGTGGTACCTCAACCCTGGAAGCCACCATTAGGACCATCACTTTTACCATCATTTCATTCCATGGGTGGACCCTCCAGACCCTTCAGCCTAGTGGAGCTCAGCACTCAGCCCATAAGTAAGCCCACTGCCCACGGGCCCCAGTGTACCCTCACTGGCTGTGACTGGGGGCACTGCATAGTTCTGTGTGCCTAGCCCCCTCCCTTTAGCCCAGAGGTGTGCTACACCTGCCTCGTAGGGGAAGTTGTGTAAGCCTGTGAGTCGTATGTTACGGCCGGGGCAGTGGTGGCCCAGTGGTGGAAGCCTTACCTTCCACACAGAGACCTGAGTTTGATTCCTAGGCAGTGTATCTCACGTGCAGCTAGCAGCCGTCTGTCACTGGGGGCTTATGTGTTGTTGTGACGCTGAATAGGCTTCAGTGGAGCTTCCGACGTGAGACAGACCAGGGAGAAAGGCCTGGGGACCAGTTTCTGGTGATTAGCTGAAGGAAGCCTGTGGATTGCAGTTCCGGTCTGACACTTGCAGGATCACCATGAGTCAGGACCCACTCAGTGGCAGCCAGCCACACATATACAGTGGACTCTTGTTGCCATAGTGACTGTATCCTATAACATCCCAACGGACACCGAACCTGCTTTGTGCACCTGACCCCGCCAGCACTTCGGCGACTCAGATTTTTCCCGCCCTGTGCATATGCTCGTCTGCCAATGCCTGGGAAAGCCCTTGAGTCTCAACTTTGGGGTACCAAGTACCTTGCAGCAAGTAGGTGAGCTCATAGACACGGACTCCATGAAGAATGACCACCGACTGCGCGTCAGGCCCTTGGCACCGTGCCTGGCACGTGGTACCATCACTGGTCTGGGCGTCGGTCTGCTATTCCTACTTGCTTACTCACATACACAGACACACACACACATGTACACGGAGTGAGTTGCACTCAGCATAAGTGCAGGTCCACTGACTTGTCCCAGCTACCATGCTTCCTCAGGCCTGGCTGGGGCCTCGTACGCTGACCCTGTCCCTGCTCCTGCACAGGTTCTCCGGGGCCTGGCGTACCTCCGGGAAAAGCACCAGATCATGCACAGAGGTAAGGGGGTCACAGACCCCCCCCCCAGCCGGGTGGAGCCTTGGGTCCCGGCACCCTCCCAGTGGAGCGGGTCATGTGTGGTGGGCAGGTGGGCCCGAGCCCCTTGGCCTCTGTGGTCACCTGCAGCTGGCTCTCTTCTCAGATGTAAAGCCTTCCAACATCCTGGTCAATTCCAGAGGGGAGATCAAGCTGTGTGACTTCGGGGTGAGCGGGCAGCTCATTGACTCCATGGCCAACTCCTTTGTGGGGACACGCTCCTACATGTCGGTATGTTTCTCAGGAGGGGAGTGGTGTCCTGTGTCACACTCCCCCCTTTGCAACCAGCTTCCCCGTTTCCAGTCTGCACTTTGCACACCCTGTGCTTTGCCGATGAGTTCTGTCCTGCTGCTGATGTCCTTACCCTGTCCAAACTCTCACGCTCACAGTCTTCTCGCTTAGGGTTTTGTCTCTCTGGCAGAAGCGTGGCTCCTTTCTACTAGTAGTGGGTGGTTGAGGTTGTTGGTTACTTTGGGAAGAAACTCTGGTGGTGGAACCATTAAATGCTGATCTCCTAACCAGAAGGACCTGCCCAGCACTCTACAAGAGAAAGACCTGGTAATCTGTTCCCGTAGACAGTACAGCATGGAAAACCTTGTGGAACAGTTCCGCTCTGTCACGTAGGGTCGCTGTAAGTCAGAATGAACTCGATAACACCCACCAACAACAGTTAATTTTGGAACCAGCAAGTTGGCTCTCATGTACCTTAGAAAACTATTGAGCCACCAGAGTTCCTAGGTGGTGGCACAGACATTAACACATTTGGCTGCTAACTGAAAGGTTGGAGATTCAAACCCAGCCAGAGGCACCTCAGAAGAAAGGCTTGGTGGTCTGCTTCAGCAACATCAGCCCCTGAAAACCCGGTGGTGGAGCACGGTTCTGCTCTAACACGTGGGGTCACTATCAGTGGATCCGCTGGACAGGAACTGATTTGGGTCTGGGTTTGAGTTTCCTGCTGGGTGTCTAGAAGCTGGTTGAATTGATTCTGTAAGCACATGGTCTCCAGGTGGCTAGGAACAAGGAGTCGGTGCCGTCTGTTTGGGGCCAGCTGTCCCTGTCCACAGCACTGAGAATCTCGGGCCTCAGAGCAGCCCCTGCCAGTGTCAGCACAAAGCCCCTCCCATCCCAAAGTCCTGTCAAGCATCAGGGGTGAGCAGGAGGAGGAGGTGGGGCTGCCAGGGAAGGGAATGATACCAGGTGCTGCCCTCTGACCCCACACACACCCATTTGCTGCCTAGCGGCTCCAGGTGCCAACTCCCATTCCCCCAGCATCTCTCTCTGTCTCACTGACAGCCGGAGCGCCTGCAGGGTACCCACTACTCTGTGCAGTCGGACATCTGGAGCATGGGCCTGTCATTGGTGGAACTATCCATTGGAAGGTACCCCATCCCCCCGCCGGACGCCAAGGAGCTGGAGGCCATCTTTGGCCGGCCCGTGGTCGACGGGGCCGAGGGAGAGCCCCACAGCATCTCACCACGGCCGCGGCCCCCCGGACGCCCCATCAGTGGTATGGCCTGAGTCTGGGATGACTGCTCTGGGCAGGCGGTGACCTCCGTCCAGGGACAGCAGCTGCCTCCCCTGGCCCCTGTCTACACCACCTGCCCCTGGGTAGAGCTGGTTGGTCAGCAGTCCTCAGACAGTCCCAGGATTGCTGGTGACAGACAGATCTGAAAGTGGCGCCCCAGAGCTGCACCTGTTGCTGCCAGCTGGAAAGATCCGGAAACAAGCTCCCAGGCCAAGCCTCTGGTTGGCTTGTTTTCCCATTTTATCTTGAAAATGTTCAAACCAACAGCAAAGTCAGTGAACATCAGTGGGTGTCACCATCAGCATTGTGCCCTGTTTGAAGCAGGCTCTAAAAGCCTCGGAAAATTCTTCCACCTTTGGTTTGGAATTTGCTCAGGTGGCTCATTGGATTTGGCCTCAGCACACACTCCCACAGAAAGCACAGTTTGGGAGAGTCGGGCTGGGGGTGCAGCTGGGCCCCTGGAGAACCTTCCAGCATGTAGAACAGCCGCCTCGGGGGGTGGAGCTCCCTGACCCTAGAGATGGTCAAGCTGGGACACATTGGCTACTTTGGGGATGGTGTAGAGAGGAAGTGGCGGCTTACTCTTAGTTAGGTGACAGGAAGAGGGTTGGGTGAAACTAGAGTCCAGAGGACCCTGTGGTCAGCTGGGGGCTCATAACTGTCTTTATTAGTCTCCTGTCCTGGACATTTCACACGATGAAGTCACTCAGTGCTTGGCCTTCTGTGCCTGGATCCTTTCGCTCAGCACAGCGTGTGCAAGGTTCATGCGTGTCATGTGTGAGTCATTGTTTCACTCCTGTTTATGGCTGAATAGTAGTCCATGTGTGGATGCCATGTCAGGTGATCAGACCATAGTTTTCAAGCTAGGTGCTTGAGGTGCCTTGATTGTGTCCCAGAGACAGACCCTGCCACTCTTTCTTCTCTGCCCTGCACCTCCCTGGCCCTGGCCCTGGCCCTTGTGCCTATTTCAAGTCGGGCAGGAGACGAAAGTCCAAGCTGACCAGCTGCAGCAAGGATGGGTCAGCCACCCCCGGCTCAGCCATCTACCCACAATGACATTTGGGGCCTCTGCTGTGATTGCCAGCTGCTCCTGCAGGGTCATACACCGTCTTTGCAGCCAGCACGCTGTCCTGGCCTACCCTGCCCACCAACAAACGAGGGGTTACAAGTTTGGCATACTCTGGGACCAAGCCCATGCCAGATGGAGGACTTCTCAGAAACAGTCCCATGCTTGGGTTGGCGCTTTTGTTTTGTTTTGTTTTAATTCACCAGAGGCTTGGGGAGAAGAGGCTTTCCCAGGGCAAGACACTTGGCAGCACTGCCAGCCTGGGGAGCTGTGGTCCAGTGTCGCTCGAGTGTATTTTCTGCCTGGCCTGGGCTGGAGCTGAGCTGGGCAGAGCAGTCAGTCTCGCAGTCTGTGTGACCCCTGTGCGTTTTGTTGTTGGTTGTCACATTAGCATACTTACACCACCAGAAAGCCTGCCGTTTCATAGTGGAACAATGTGGTAAAGGACAGCAACGTTGGTTTTACAACGTGAGGAATGCAGCCAGTGTCACTAAAAACATTGTTGAATTGGCAAATGGCCTATTATATGTACTTTTTACCACAATTTGAAAAGTTGGCCATTTCAACCATCTTTGTGCGTGTAGCTCAGTGCCGTGAATTACATTCACCACGCTAGGCCACCACGGCCTCAAGTTCCATGAGTTCTCTGTCACCCTGAGCAGGGACTTCCCACCCTTCCGCTTCCACTCCCACTCCCGTCCCCCAGCCCTGGCAACACTGCCCCATTCTGTCCCCACGGCCTTGCCTGTTGTAGGGTTTTGTGTAAGTGGAGTTGCACACTAGTCATCTTTCAGTTGTGTATGACATACAACGACACACCTTGACAGTGTTTGTGTATGGTTCCCTGTTAACACTAGTGTCTGTCACCTTGTTGAGCCATCACCCTTATCTGTTCCCAAATTGCCCGTTGCCCTCACCACAAGCTGAGTGTCCTCTAAGTAATGAGTCGGTCTGTGTCCCCCGGCCCCTGCTAACCATGAATCAGCTTAGGTCTCTGCACATTTGCCTGCTCTGGGTGCTCCACAAACATGGGCTCGTACAATCTGTCCTTCTGTGACTGGACTTCTTTTGCTCAGCATAGTGTGGTCACGGGCCACCAGTGTGGCGTGCAGCAGGACTTCATTCCTTTTTGTGGCTGAGTAATACTCCATTGTGCACATACGCCACGTCCCCTTGCTGCTGACAGCTCTCACCCTATGTTTGCTTTTCTCCCGCGTAGGTCACGGGATGGACAGCCGGCCTGCCATGGCCATCTTTGAACTGCTGGACTACATTGTGAATGAGGTCAGTGCCAGGCGGTCCCGCCCCCGCCTCATACGTGGTGATTTAGTCACCCCTGCTGGGACATTTCCTTTGTGCCTGGCGCTGCCCCTGGCACGTAGCTTTAAGAACAGAACTTCCTGTCTCACAGGTTGGGAGCCCAGGAATCTGAGCTCAGGCCATAGGCAGGACTGGGTTCATGCTTGCGCACTAGCTCTCTTGCTTTAGGGGAAGCTCCCAGGCTCCTTCCGCTTCTAGCAGCCACAGCAGTCCTTGGCACTCTCCGGCTCCTAGATGTGTCTGAAGCTTCCATCTGTGTCCCCTGTATATGTATGTCTGTCCTGCTTTTTGTTTAGAAGACACGGATCAGAAGGGATTGGCTTAGGACCAACCCTACACTGCATGGCCCCATGAACATAACCCAACCCATCGCTGTCAAGTTGGATCCAACTCATAGCCACCCCTCCTTGTGTTTCCGAGGCAGTATCGCTATGGAAGTAGATTGCCCAACCTTCCTTCCGAGGACTAGCTGGTGGTTTGAACCGCCACCCTTTTGGCTAGCAGTCAAATGCCTTAGGCACTAAGCCACCAGAGCTCCTATGAACATAACAGTAGAAAGCAAACCCACTGCCGTTGTGTCAATTCCGACTCACAGCACCTCTAGAGGACAGAGTGGAGCTGCCCCACAGGGTTTCTCATGGAGCAGCTGGTGGCTTTGAACTACTGATCTTTTGGTTAGCAGACCAGTGCCTTAAGCACTGTGCCACCAGGGCGCTTCAACATAAAACAACAACAATAAAAACCTATTTCCAGGCTAGGAAATAGGACTTCAGCTTAGCATCTGGGGGACATAGTTCAACTATAACAGATAATGTTTCAAAGACAGAATATTCGACAGTCAGACTAGATTTTGGGGACGAGCATGAGGTTGGGAGAGCCTAGGCCATTCTTTTCAATAGGAGGCAGTGAGGTGTGAAAATACACCCCCTTCCTTCCTCCTGCCCTGCACAAGTCCACTCCCTCCCCAGGGGGACTTTTTTTTTTTTTTAATAAAGACAAACCCAGAATTTCTAACACTATCCCCTCCCTCCAAGTCCAGGGACTGTGGGTACCTGTGAACCTATAGGTAGGGGTCCAGGCACCAAACTCCCCACACATGTATCTGGAAGCTTCCCTCATATACACATACACCTGGAAGCGTCCGTCACACGCAGCACACACCCGGAAGCTTCCGCCACCCTGTCTCCCCGCACCTGACAACTTGGCGTCAGTGTGCCTGAAGTTGTAAATAGTCGCTGCTTCCCAGGAGAAGGGACAGGTGTTGCCTTGTCCCCGGGAAGGAGCCTGGGAGAGCTGGCCGGGAGGCGGCTCGTCTTTCAGGGGCAGCTGAGGGATTGAGGGCAGGTTTGTGCTGCATGTCCACCTGTTAGTTTAGTGTGTCGAGTGTTTGCCACAGGTTCGTCTCAGTCTATCTTCAGAACGATCCCTCGAGAGGGTGCTGTTAGTATTCCCATCGTGCAGAAGAGTAAACCGAGGAAGACCAGCAGCCAGGGCGAGGGGGAGCGGGCCTGGAACCCAGGGCCCTCACTCTGTGCCACCTCACCCTCCTTGGTCCTTCTGTGGGCCTTGGTAGGTTTTCTGTGGCCTCTTGAAGTCCTGGAAAAGAGGGTGGCCAGGTAGCACACAACACCAAGCCCAGACCAAAGCTAGGTCACAGGTAAGAGGCACAGACCAGGTCAGTGACAACAGGGTGTGGTGGCTCCAGTGACGCAGCTCTCCTGCACCTGGCAGAGACGCCGAGGGTGGCTGCCGGGCCCCTCCCGCCTGAGTGGGCAGGGTCAGCCTCAAGACATTGGTGGCAGAGCATGGGGGAGGGAAGGCCCTGTGGCTTCTCCTAAACATTCCCTGACTCTCACCGCCCCTTCCCTGTGAAGGCTGTGCCCAGCTGGGCTCCTTGGAGTCCTCCAGCTCTCATGCCAAACCTTGGGAATGGTCACCCCTCTGTCATCCGGATCTGTAGCTCACTGCTGCTCTCATGGTGATGAGAATATTCCAGGCCTGCACAGAGGTGGGCGATCCAGACACTGCATACAGCACGGCCACGAGCATGGCTGCCTGGCCATTCACAAGGTCAGAGCTGAGCCAGAAGCCAAACTAGTTGCCACTGAGTTGATGCTGACTCACGGTGCCATTCAAGTGCCACAGCAGAACTGGGCTCCCCAGAATGTCAAGGATGGCCGAGTTATCAGAACAGGCTGCAGGCCTGCCTTCTGGGCTGCCTCTGGTAGACCTGAACCACTAACCTCTGTCAGCCGCTGAGCAGGCTCCCCGTCTGCACCCCAGGGACTCTGAGCCATAGGACAAGGTAGTGGCACCTTCGCTAAATGTCCGTGTGGCTGCCGAGAGCCCCTAGAAGAGCTGGCACTTGGTGGTCTTTAGTACGAGGACCCTGGCCCTGCCTTCTCCACGGGTGCAGTTCCGTGTGCCCAGCAGACAGGCAGAGCCAGGCGGGACCCTCCCTGCCTGAGTCTGTCTGCATGTCCAGATGAGCACGAACCTGCACTCCTTACCACGACCACACCTTGTACCCCCGTGAGAGCCTGGCACAGAAAGTTCCAGAAGAACCAAAGTACACCCGCGTCAGGGAGGTGGCCATGCCTGCTGGGTGGGCATCAGAGGCAGGGAGGCTGCCAAGAGTGAGAGCAGGTGCTACCCTCAGCTTCCTGCAAGGTCACTGCCTCTCGGAACAGTGAGGGGCTGGGTGGGGCTCTCCCCAGCAGAGGGCCACACGCTTACTGCACATGGAGGAGTGGGAAATGCCTGCCCAGGTGGTTCCAGAGCCTTGAGCTGATGGCCCCCCTCCCATCTCTCCCACAGCCTCCCCCGAAGCTGCCTAGTGGTGTCTTCACCCAGGACTTCCAGGAGTTTGTAAATAAATGGTGAGTGCCCTGCAGACCCCCAGTGCCGCCGAGGTGGGTGGGCTGGACATCTATAGCCTGAAACCCCACTGCCTCCCAGGCTGGCTGGTCACCAACTCAGCCAACCCACACCCACCCAGTGACTTAGAAGGGCACTGCTTCCCGGCCCTAGGTGGGGACAGAAGTCCTTCGAGAGCTGCCAGAAGGGTTTGTAGGGATGGCTGTTGCACAGAACCCAGAGTGCAGCTGGTTCCCACACACAAACACCTGTCAGCAGAGGCCCCAACCTCCAGTCCCCAGGTCCTGTCACCCACCAGCTTCCAGAAGAAGCTTCCAAGCAGGTTTCTGAGCAGTCGCTGGCTGCTCTTAACCCTTGGACCAGTGGAGGCTGAGTAGCATGTCTGGCGTGGGCCCTGGGCTGCGGCCTGTGGGGGGGGGCAGTGCACTCTTGCCCCAGGGACATCAGCTGCCCCTCGGGGGCACCCGTGGTTCACCAGCACAGACATCCTTGAGGCAACTCGCTTACTACAGGCCATTGGCATGGCCCTGTAGCAGGCTCGGTCTAGAACCATCCGTTTTGTGCAGAAACATTTTCACACGTGTGTGAGGTATTGTCAGAAATACCATCTGTCCCCGAGCTGCTTCAGGGAACAGACTCTGGTTTCCTGGCTTGGGAGCAAGCCTGGGGTTTTCACTCAGGATTTGGCTGTGGTTGTTCCCAGGGTGCTGGCTAAAAAGGGGGTCGTGCATTTCCCACCCATTTCTCTTCCCCTTGTTTCCTGCCCTGCCCCTCCCTGGGCTTCACAGCCAGGCAGATCGGGTTTATGCCCCAGGGTGGGGCTGGCACAGGCTGCCAGAGTCTGCCCAGAGCACCGAGCAACCAAGCTCCCTGTCCTCCCCTTCTCTTCCTCCCACCTCACGGACCCCCAGCCTGATCAAGAACCCGGCTGAGCGTGCTGACCTGAAGATGCTGATGGTGAGTGAGGTGACAAACTGGGGCCTGGGCTGCCACTGGGCTGCTTCCTTCTTCCCTCTGCCTGGGGACCCTCACAAAGAGGGAGCACTCATCCACCCCCACTGCCTGTACTGTGCCCACAGTGAGCTCCAAGCCAGCTATGAGCAGGACACAGCAAGTGGGCCGGGGTGGAGCCAGGCCCCAAGTCCCTGGGTCTCCCTGGTCCATTAGCAGCGGAAGTGAGTTGGCCATGGGCCTCAAGAATCCTGGGAGGACAGAACGAGCCCCACTGTGCCCAGGGTGGGGCAGGTGAGGGGTTTGTCCTGTGCACTGGGTGCGTGCAGGCTGTAAGGGCATTTGGTTTCCTCACACACGTCTTGTGGGGGCTGTACTCTCGGGACCTTCTCTCCCGCCTCCCCAGTGGCTCTTCTTCATTTGCCCTAAGCAGGGTCCCACTTGTGTGCCTGGGGTGAGGTGTGTGCCAGGCGGGTGGACCCTGTCCTTGGCCAGAAGTGTTAGTCTCAGGTCCTTAACTTAAACTCACACGCTTATACATCCCTGAGAGCAAGCTGTCTGCTGACACCTTCCATAGCAGGGGTGGGGACGTCCCATGGAGCCCAGGAGCCCCGTCTTCAGACACTGCCCCCCCCAGGATGTTGTCCCCAGTTCTTTGGTTGTCAATGACCCCAGAACTACACCTTGCATCCCGTCTCATCTCACCCTGGTCCTCAGACAGCCTTTCTTCTAGTGTCCCTGAGAAGGAGACAAGGCCTGGGCTGAATGTCAGGCACAGTTCTGGCTCCGATGGCAGGACGGGAGAAGGTCTGTGGCTTAGATTTGCTGGAATCTTTTTTTTTTTAAATGCCCTTCAAGAGATTCCCACACTTCTCCCCAAGGCCAGCAGGAACCCAACTGTTTTCCAGCCTCCCCCACACTGTTCCTCCCCCACCCTACCCCCACTCCTCATCTCTTCACCTAAACCCCAGGACCTTTGCACGGATGGTCTTCTCCCTTAGAGGGCACTTCCTGTCTATCCCGGGGCTGCCAGCTTCCTGTCCTTGTGGCCCTACCTCAGCACCTCAGATAGGACCTAGGCCACCTTGCCCAGTCAGACCCCTGGTTAGTGGCAGCGGCAGCCAGTCTGCTGCAGTTTGTGTTCCTTTGCTGTGGTCTAGAGAAAGACTGGACAGGTGCACCAGGTGGGGAGAGTGTCTGATTCTAGAAACTCCAGCACTTGGTCCAGCTCTGATGTGAAGCAGGGTCTTCAGAAGTGTGTTAAATGAGTGACATCGTGATGTGTGTTCATTGTAAAATGCGTGCATGTGAGTCACACCGATGGTGAGGTCAGGCCACCCTGTAGACACGTGCTATGAAACCTACCAGAGCTTTTGTTTCTCCCTGAACACAAAGTTGTATTTCCTGTGTACATGTCCTAGTTCCCTGGCACTGCTGTAACAGAAATGCCACAAGGGGGGCGCTTTAACAAACACATTTATTTTCTCACAGTCAAGGAGCCTGGAAGTCCAAATCCAGGGCTCCAGCTCTAGGGGAAGGCATGCATGCTCTCTTGCTTGCTCTCTGTCTCTGTGTGTCTGTCTGTCTCTGTCTCTGAAGGAAGGTCCTTGTCTCTTCTCAGCTTCTGCTTCTGGATGCTCTTCATGTGACTTGGAGTCTCTCTGGCCTCATCTCCACCTTTTTCTCGCTCCCTAATCTCTCTGTGGGAGCTCTGGTAGCATAGTGCCTAAGGCACTTGACTGCTAACCAGAAAGCTGGTGGTTCGAATCCACCAGCCACTCCTCAGAAGGAAGATGGGGCAATCTACTTCCCTAGCGATACTGCCTCGGAAACCCAAGGAGGGGTCGCTATGAATCGGTTCTGACTCAGTGGCACATAACAACAACGACAACAATCTTTCTGTATTATCTCGAAGGCTGAGAACCACCCTGCTCTGATAGGGCTGCTTAACCCAGAAACCCCAGTTCCAGGAAGGTGGGATTATGACCCCAGGGATAGGATGGGGGAGGATTTACAGCTCAAATTTTGGGGGCGCACAGTTCAGTCCATAACAGTCCACAAAGGTGATTATCTAACCAGAGAGCCACTGGGCTTGTAAATATCGTCTGTGGTCGTGCCTTCTCTCTGTAGCTGTTTCTTCTGTTACCAAGACAGCAGGGGCGCAAGTGAGTCTATTTTGCTTGGTTTTTTAACCAAACCGGCAACAATGATGACCTTTAGGAAACTCACTATGCCATTGCCCTCTCGAGCCTGCCCAGGAGGCCCCGCTGACGGCTCGCAAGGCTCTGCATCCAGGGGGCACTGTTACTGGCTGCGCGGTCTTGCGCCGTGTCTGGGATGGGCTGTGCGTCGGCTGTTGGGATCCATTCTCCGGCGTTGTCTGTTTTGATGTGTACAGTGCCTCCCCTTCTCACAAAAGATGCCCACTGTGTAACGTGGCTCATGTTTTGTGTTTTTCACTTCAAGACCTTTCCACATCCTTCCATCCAGAGCTTCCTTCTTGTCATAGCGTCACACCGTCTCGTTGTTCAGGTTTCATGGTTGCACGATCAGCCCTGCTGGCACAGGCAGGTTGTGTCCAGTCTTTCTCACGAGTCATGTAGCCGTAGTGGATGATGTCGTGGGCACGCCATTTTGCACATGGTCAAGGTTATCCATAGTACACATTTTCTGCAGTGGAGTTGCTGAGCGTTTGTGATTTTTTATAAACCTTTCCAAATTGCTCTGTGAGAGGGCTGGGCCGGCACCAGTAACAGGCCCCTGTGCAGGTCCTGCCACTGGAAGCGTGGTGGAACCAACGCTCCTACCCCCAGAGGACACAGGACGTCCATGGACAATGGTGCTCAAGTCCCTGCAGTGCAGGCAGCCCCCCGAGAGGCGCTGGCCCTGGGTCAGCGGTGCTCAGGGGACACTCCCCGTTAGCCTTGTCTTTGGGCCCTTGCTGCCACCTCCCTGAATGGTCCCAGCACACACATCCTCTCCTTTCTGGGTTTGGCCTCTCGCTCCTGTCCACAGTGTGTTTTCCAGAACCTGGGATTGGAGATACCCTTATCTCTATCTTATTCCTCTTTGTGTCCTGTGCCAGGGCCCCGGAGGCTGCTTGCCCCCCTCGTTCTGGCGAAGACCAGGGCCTGGCTGCTGACCTGCCCCTCTTCCTTCCAGAACCACACCTTCATCAAACGGTCCGAGATGGAAGAAGTGGATTTTGCCGGCTGGTTGTGCAAAACCCTGCGTTTGAACCAGCCCAGCACGCCCACGCGCACTGCCGTGTGACGGTGACACCGGGCCTTCGTCCCTGCCTGTGCCCTACCCTTCCAGCTGAAGGCAGACCAGCCCCCTGCCTTGGTGACCTGCCCCCTCACCCCAGCGGCCCCTCCTGAGGACCCACTGCTGCCCCTCCTACCTGTTGCAGTGGTGTAGCTCTGGGTTCCGGGGGTGGGTAGTGCTACTCGGGTTGTCTTCTTGGAACCTGCTTACCTAGGTTTAAAGGGGGGAAAATATGAGAAAGAAAAAGCAAATGGTGCCCATTGTATTTTCTGTTTTGTTTGGTTTAAGGGGACATTAGCCTTTGCTTCACGTATCTCTGAGTGGTGTGAATGGGGTCACCGCTGCTGCTCACCAAAAGGTTGGCATTTTGATCTGCCCACAGGCACCTTGTAAAAAAGGCCTGGCAGGCAGCTTTCAAAAACAGCTATTGAAAACGCTGTGAGCCCAGTTCTGCTCTGACCCACACAGGGTCACCAGGAGTCGGGGCCCACTGGACGGTGGCTGGTAGCTTTTGGTTCCGTACCAGGGTTGAGAAGTTTCTGAAGGGGACAGCCCTAGAGGTGACAGCCAGGTGGGGACGGGCAGGGAGAAGGATGGCGGCGGAGCCTGGCTTTGCCCTCCTCCAGCCTCGGTGCGGACTCCCAGGCAGCGGAGGGGACCGGCCCCCTCATCTCTGCCGCTTATAGGTGCACGATGTGCAGAGAAAAGCACAGCGCTGGCTCCTGGCTCTGACGCAGTCCACGTCCCCTTCACCTTCTCCAGGCCACTCATGCCCCACGGAGAGTCCAGCACCAGCAGGGCTCTGTCTCCTCTCGCCGAGCACAGCCTTCGCAGAGCAGCCTCAGCTGAGCTCAGTCGGCGCCACAGAAAGGAAGCGTTGGGTTTCCACACCGTCGGTGTGGTCGACAACCCCAGCAGATCCAGCAGATAAACCTGCACCCACCCTCTCGCAGCCGACTGATGTGGGTGGATGGCTCTCCGGGGCTCCTCTCGCAGCCCACCAATCAGGGCACTCACCGGGTGCAGTACTGGTGGCTCCCAGGGAAGCATCAGTTTTAGATTCACTGGAGGTGGAAGGGGCAGACCTCTTCCTAGGTCAGGCCTTAGGGTCCCCTCCAGACCCTCTGTTCCAGGCAGCATTTTTGACTTGCCAGGAGCATGGGGGACTAAAAACCATGGGAGACCTGGGGCCCAGCCCTTTAGGCTCCAGGGCAAAGAAGGCCCCCTCGGGGCTCCCGGGCAGTAGGAAGTGGCGGCAGGCAGGGCTGTGTCTAAGGTTTCCTCTCTGAAGATGTGAGACTAAGTGCGCTGCCCCCTTCTGTACTTCCTGACGGCTTGACACAAGCTGATACTTATCTGTGGAAGGGCTCTCAGAGGGAGCCGCTGAGGACAGCTGCCTGTGCTCCAGCAGCAACTGCTGGACCGTCCTTTTTCTTTCCTTCTCAGGCAAATCCTTCTCTTTTTGCTCTTTTATTCTGTGGATACTGAAGAGGACATGAGTTGGCCCTTTCAACCATCTCCCAGGTTTTTGCCACTTAGTCTTCCCAAAATAATCTCACAGGATTTTTTTTTTAATAGCTAAAATCTTTAAGGCAGCAGCTGGTAGTTAACCCTGGTTTTCTGGGAGCATCCTCACAAGGCACATGGGATTGCATGTTCACTGCACTTCAGTGTCTTTGTTCTCCAATGGCACCGGCCTCCGGCTGCTAACCACAAGGTTGGGGTTCAGGTCAACCCCACGGGGCCTCAGAAGAAAGGCGTGAGGATCTGAAAACTTATCCCTTGAAAGCCCGGTGGAGCCTGGTTCTACGCTGACACCTATGAGGTCACCATAAGTCAGGGTCTCCTCGGTGGCAGCTGGTTTTAATCTACATGGGAGTTTGAGGCCAAAGGTGGCCCCTGGCACTCTGGGGACCCCCACTTGCTCTGAGCCAGTGGCGTGATGGTTCTTACTGTTGTTGTTATGTGCTGTCAAGTCGGACCCGACTCATAGCAACCCCTCCTTGGGTTTCCGAGGCGATATCACTACAGAAGTAGATTGCCCCATCTTCCTTCTGAGGAGTGGCTTGAACCGCCAGCCTTCCGGTTAGCAGTCAAGTGCCTTAGGCACTATGCTACCAGAGCTCCTGTGGTTCTTACTAGAGATGGAATATTCTATGCAAAAGTGTTGAGTTTTTTTTTTTTTTTTTTTTTTTTTTTTTTATTGGATTTTTTTTTTTTTTTTTTTGAGCAATTTTAGTTTTATGTTAAAATTGTGCAGAATGCAGCTGTGTTAGGTTTTCTCAGTCATTATTCTTTACAGAAGGAGCCCTGGTGGCACAGTGGTAAGTGCTCAGCTGTTAACCTAAAGTTCAGAGGTTTAAACCCACCAGCCATTCTGCAGGAGAAAGATGTGGCAGCCAGCTTCTGTAAAGATCAACAAGCTTGGAAACCCTATGGGCAGTTCTGCTCTGTCCTCTAGGGCAGCTGTGAATCTGAATTGACTCATACAGACCCCGTTGGGTTTCCAAGGCTGTCAATCTTTGCAGAGGTAGATTGCCTCATCCTCTTCCCTCAGAGCAGCTGGTAGGCCAACCTTCGAGTTACCAGCCAAATGCCCTGCCCCCTACACCACCAGAGCCCCTCCATAGAGACTGGGAAACCCTAAAGGCAGTTCTGCTTTGTCCTACGGGGTTGCTAGGAGTTGGGATCAACCCCATGGGGCAATTCTCCCCTGTCCTCTAGGGGCGCTGTGAGTCGGAATCAACTCCTTGGCAGTGGGTTTGGTTTATTCACATATGTCTAGATGGTTACTAAGGAGCTCTGGTGGCGAAGTGCCT